TATTTCTTAATAAAATTATAAATTTTAATATAGAGAGAAAATTTCAATTTTCATTATGTTTTATTAATAAATTTAGCCCCTAAGTTATTACTTTTGGTCACCACTATATCTTATAATAACTTCTAATTAATTAAAATATATTAAAAAATTAATAAAAAATAACAGATTATAATAATAAAAATAAAGTAATTATTCTTTTATTAATAATAAAATATATAAAAAATTATAGTAATTAATATTATTATAACTTAATAATAAGTATTATAATTATTTTAAATTAATTTTTTTTTAATAATAATTATTTAAATTATATAAAATAATAAAATATAACAATAATAGTTTTACAAAAATATTTTCAAGAAAAATAAGTATAATAACAAGATTTAAGTAATTAATTTTATAAATAATAATAAAAAAATAATTAATTAGTAATATAATAGTTAATAAATTATAATTATTAATTTAACTAATAAGAATATAAAAGAATATTAAATTATTTTTGTATTTAATAGAATAAGTTATAAAAATTCAATAACATAATTAGAAGAATTTAAAAAATATTATTCAGTTAAATAAACTTAAAAAAAATATTAAATTATAAATTATAAACTTTATTTTAATATAAAAATAAAAATTATTTCTTAATAAAATTATAACTTTAATTAATAAAATTGATCTTCTAAATTTATATTATGAGAGTTATTATATATTTTTATTTACTAAAATTAAAAATTAATTTAATTATATTAAAATAAAGAATTAATATTATATATTATATTTAATGATGATATTCTCAATAAGATAATAAATAAGCATCATATAACTATAGTTAGTAAATTTTGAATTGTGACTAGTTGTGACTTAATAAAAGACCAGTGACAAATAAGTTTCATATAGTTATGACAGCTAATCAGAAATTGTGATATCCATCACTAATTATATTAGATATTTTAACTTTTTATAATTGATTATATTTATCATGATATAAAATATTAAAAATAGCTAAATCAAAGAAAATTATTATTATTTTTGTTTTTATTTAATTTATATTATATTGATTTATATTAAAACAAAGTCAAGCAATTTCAATTGCAAGTTTTTATTATATAATTCATATCTATTAGAATTATAAACAGAAATATTAAATATACAAAATTCATCACATCCATTTAATATTTGTGCTTTGATCTAGGACAAATTCCTGAGACACAGAAAATAACTCTTAAACATGGATATTCCAATTGTATTTCCATTAACGTTAAACTTATCGTTCATTCTGTATAGTTCTTCCAGCGTCACTTTTTAGCAATCTTAACAGGAAATGACAAGTGTCAGTCACAACTCTATTGACAAAGAAAGTGAGGCAAGAGCAAGATTTACGGAGCTTCGAATTTTGCGCTTGGATGTAGATTCTCGAAATTTTCTCAGTTTATTATTAAAAGTTGAAAGTTTGAATATTAACATCATTACCATAAACTAAAATTCAAAAAAAGGAAAGTATTATTATTGCACCATATTTATTTAGCTTGGTATCTCATTAGCAAAGCTTTCTGCTTTTAACAAAATAATATATTACTTATTTTGTTCTTCGGCCTTTTGGGTATCATCTTGAAGTTATTGATACATAATTTAATTTTATTTTCAACGTATAAATTTAAATTTTATTTAATTAATATAATGTTTTCTACTCATAAGAAAATATTATTTTTCGTACTTGATATTTTAACGAGTCAGTTTAAAAAAATTTTAAATATATCTCAAAAATTAATATTGCTAAAAAATAATATAATAATTTAAAATAACAATATATTTCAAGAAACTGTTACATTTATTATAACTTTATAATTTTTAAATACTTTTATTATTCAAAGAAAGTATGTTGAACAGTTTTCATTTGAGCAAAATATTCTTGTACGCTTTCATAACAAATCTTCATATACATTCAAGGCCCGTTAATGGCTTGAAGAATAATAAAAGCAGGTTAGTTTTTTGCTTTTCTTAATTTTTGATTTTCGCATACCCGTGAAGACAATACTTCTTATTTCTCATATAACCTTATATGGCTTTTTATTTTGGCGCTTATCTTTTTTATTTTTATCTTATGACTTTTTAATTTTTTTTAATCGGTAATTTTTTTTACAAATGAGATTTAAGAAATCCAAAAAGAAGTGTCCTTTTTAAACCAAAACATAGTCATTATTATGAATCAAACTTTTAAAACCTGGAACACTTCACATTCATCAATTGTAAATTCCCTCATGTTCAACACTGCTCGTTCATAACACACTGGAAAAGCATGACATTTTTGTAGTCTGTCGTCTTTTGTTTCCCGAATATCTAGTTCTAAATCATGTACACCAAAACGTGGACCATTTTGTGTGTTTCGTATCGCGTATTTAGCGTAACCACCAAGAATTCGCGACATTACACAATTGTCTTTGATATTATAATTGCTATAATTAATAGTATCGTTAATATTATTAGCATTGTTCTTTAAATTTCCTTCAATATTATTATTACATTCTTCTCCCATTCCAAAAATAAAACCCATTTTTGCACCTTCTAGATCCTCAATCTCCGTATTGAGTGGGCTCAATCCAATATGACTATAGCCGCCTACCACAGTCTTTTTCCCGTGTACTTTAGCCACAACTAAAGTTGGCCCTTGATTATCACATTTCGTATGATAATTAAGAAATACATTTGCACTTTTCCGATACAATAACTTGAAATGAAATTGCGTTTGTTTTATGTTATCTGCGGATGAACGACGATTTGTGAATCGAAATAAAGATTTTTTAGATTCATTTATGGTCGTAGCGCCAAAAGAATTTCTTTTGGACTTTTTCGAGGAAGAGAGAATCCACTTTGCAATTTGTGTGGCATGCGTATGGTTTATGATCACGGAATCTTGAAGTTTAATTCTCGGTATATGTAGAGATGATGATGTCGACGCGGATAATGGATTCGATAATCGAGAGAAAAATAACGGTGAACTGAGTCTTGATTTATCATTATGCTTAATAAATTGTTCATTTAGATAATACTTTAATGCATCATTGTTCTCTATTAGTTCGTCATTGTTCATTAATATTCTTTTATAAGGTAAAACTTTTTCCACGAAATCATTTCTTGAGATATCCGAAAATCTAATCAAATACAAGAATCTGTTTATCCTGTCTTTTATCTTTTTACACTCTCCCATCGTCCATTCATCCGCTTTCATATAAGGTTTCAAATCATTTTGTGCAATTGCCCATTTGACAATAATATCCCAAAGCATGCCCTCATTTATGCATTGCTCTTTATCCGTAAATAATTCGCGCAAAACCCATTCCTCTAACGATTGTGAAACTTTCTGAATTGTTAATTTCCACGGTTGAGCATTCATGTTTTGAATAATGTGGGATCGTAGATTTGGAAATCGTTGACGGTGAATGTATGTCCAGCCAAGTAGTAGGTTCAAGT